TCATTATATAGCCCAGGCTGGCTTGGAACTCTTAATGAACCTCCTGCCTTACTTCCTGAGTGCTGGGATTATAGGGTTGCACCACCACATCTGGTTTCAGTATGTAGTCCTAAATCTTGAATAATCAGGTTTTACACTAATCCTCAACAAAATCCAAGGTCATAAACAAAGGATGGTTCCCGCTCAAAACCTTAGGTTGTGGCCTCTGTGACTAAGATTGAACTATGACATATGTTTTCACCTACTCCAACCAGGAGTTTCTTGGGTGCAGCTTTAATATGTATTAGAATTGATGAGCAAGTTTTGTGCAGTGAACAGTGATTTTTTTTTTTTTTTTTTTTTTTTGAGACAGGGTCTCACTATGCAGTTCAGACTATGTAGCTCAGGAGAATGGCCTCGAACTCCTGGCAATCCTCGTACCTCAGCCTCCAGAGTTCTGAGATTACAGGCGCTGGCCAGCCTGCCGGCCAGTAATTTTTTACAAAGTAGAAGAAAAAAATGTAATTAACATTTCATTTCACCTTTAGTGAATCCCAAGTACATCATCATCATAAAAAAATGTCAACACACAGCTTTCATGTCAAATATCATATGCATTGGCTCCCCAAACCGAATATAATCCAGTGGCAGATCTGCCAGCAAAGTAGATGATCCAGTTTTAATTATTTAAATTTCATATTCATCACAGTGATTCGAAATAGAGCCCATCCGACAAGCACGGTTCGCCTTATTCCTGGGCTCCTTCATGTTGTCATTACAAAAAATTTCATACACAAAAAGCCCCGGAGTATTCCCAATTTTTCTGAAAGGAACTGCCCAAAAGATTTGTAGTATTAAACATGTTCTTGCGCATTCTGGGCCAGCTTCCGAATCAACTCTTTGAAAACATGAAAGGAGTTTTTACGTTGACCCAACAGAAACAAGAGCTAAACGGTGTGTTTTAATCACTTAAACAAGTGTGATGACACAATTCCTGAGTCCGAGTAAGTCTGAAGACAGTCCCCCTGGGGGATTGCACATACTTTTCTCTGGGCCGTCATTTCAGCTTCTCAGAATATCATGTAGAAAGAACACAGAGCCCACCCTTTTCCAGGAGTAGCAGGTAAAGATGACGTCCACGGAGGCCCCAGCAGAAGGGTCCGCAGAACTAGGGACCGACTGAGACCAAGTCGGATCCCCCTGGGGCAACTCAGACTTCTGAGGGGACACCGTGGGAGGAAAATCTAACCTGAGAAACCGCGTGCGCTTGGGACGGCGGGAATCAGCTTGAAAGTTGAGAGTAGCCAAGGCATAACTGCCAGCTCACGCGTCAGGAAGAGAGAGAAAAATCAGCCCAGGAAGTAGCCTGCTGGAGAAGCGCGTAGCCAAGAAACCAGGCCAGCGCCCCGCCCCTTCCGGATGGCGCCGCTAGCGGACTTTCATTCCGGACGACGCAGAATGCTGACGTCACGCCGAGGCTGGCGCTCGGGCCGAGGCCCTTTTTTATTCAGGGCGTCGCGATCCACCAACCCTCTATTCGCAGAACATCCGATTCTAAAGGGCTCGCTGGAGGAGCTAGTGTCTCCGGCCCATTTGAAAGCCACTATAAACACGGCTTGACCCATCCCGTCAACTGGTTCAATAGTATAAGAATGTTTGTGTAGAGAGGCAGGCAAGAGCACGAACAGCTACCCTTCTAGAAGGTTCTAGCCAGTGCGCAGGAGCCGAGGTAGAAGGTGTAGGAAGGAGCAAGCGAAGGACCCCGGGTCACGAGGCCGTTGGGGGAGGAGCCACTGCCTGGGGCGGTTCTAGTCTGTTTGGCCTCGCGGCAGCCGCCCCCTTCTACGCTGTCTAGCAGAGCCTGCGCCCGAGCTTGGATTCGGGCGGTATCCTCCTCAGCAGCCGCTGACCATAGTCTGCCCACTATGGATCCCCGCAAAGTAAACGAGCTTCGGGCTTTCGTGAAAATGTGTAAGCAAGATCCGAGCGTCCTGCACACAGAGGAGATGCGCTTCCTGAGGGAGTGGGTGGAGAGGTGAGACCCGGGCCGGGGACCGTTGGAGCGGGAAGAGGGCGAGCTGGGCCCAAGCTGGCGCGGCGCGGAGCGGAAGGGGCTCGGAGCCTCTCGGTGACGCCCCCCCCTCCTGGAAAGGAGGCGACTTCGAGGAGTTGCCAGAGGATTGCAAGCGTGGGGCAGAAAGCCTCCAGACGTGCGTCTCGAGCGAAGTATATGGACACGATTGCGGGGCCCTGGGGCTTGGGGACGGGAGTGGTGCAGGAAAGAGGGGCGCGAAGTGCAAAACTTGGCTGTCGCTTGGCGAGTTTTTCATCATAATTCTGTGGCGTCCTGTGTAGGTCGCGTTGGCACATTGGATTGAGCGTTGTTACGCACTTTCCTTTTAAATAGTATTGTAAGTGTAGTGTAATTATAATTAGAATAACTGATCTGTTTTACCACATTGATTCTAACTGCGTAGAATTAATTATCTTGGGAATCATTTATTATACTTCCATTCGTGGCAGTGCTATCTCCTCAGACGCTTTAAGGAATACGATTTTTTTTCAAGGATCAGTGTGTTTCGAAGATAATGGGTACGGGGAATCGAGCTCGGGATCTTACGCTTGCCAGGTAGGCGGCGGAACCATTGAGCTAAATCCCCCGCTTATATTCTTATTTTTACCTTGCCTTTTACTTACCTACGCACAAAGAATCCAAGGGGCGTTGTGCCAGCTGCAGGAAACAGTACTCTCTACTTAGAGGTATTGATTCATAAATATCATGTTTTATTTTGAAGTAGATATTAGATGTTTATTGGAGGAGCACCCAAGCAAAAAGGGAAATATACCTCCAGGTGATTTTTTTTTTTTTAAACAAATCACTACTAGCCGTTTGTGGCCCAGTGTTCAGTCCCCAGCAAAGGGGTGGGGTGGGAGGCGTCCAGCGTTTTCCTCATTACTAGGGATGAATTTAAAAGCAGACTACAGCTTATCTTTTCAACCTGGATATTTCCCTTTAATTTTCTTAACGTTCCTTGACATTGTGTAGTTTGTGTATTTTTCTTTGCTTGTTAAGCAGATCATATATATATATAT